AACTAGTTAGTCTACGTAGTTTACCTTTCGTTCGTCGTCTTACTCTCTACTTATCAACTAGCTTCGTCACCTACGACACGAACAACACAACCTACACTCTCTCTCTCTCTCTCTCTCTCTCTCTCTCTCTCTCTCTCTCTCTCAAAAAATATTAGTAGTTTTGATTACCTCAAGTTGCTCATGGAGACTTTTCTGCACCTCAATTTGCAGTCTCAGAGCTTCTGAAATTTGCAGGGTGCTGTGAGACATGCAAAATAAATGAATGAGTGAAAGTCTCTCAAAAAGTAAGAAAACAAGTCAAAAGAGATATTACATCAGTATTGCTTTTTTGGCAAGTAGAAAAAGTTGTTGAAAAATTATGTCCTAGACATAATAATTATTCATCTTTTTGACAATAAAGTTTATTGATTTTGAAAACCTTGTGGAGGCATGTGTAGATGTTGAATATGCAGGTACATGAGTTTGAGATGTTTTAAGAATTTGTGGGGACTCTTTTTTGTCCTTTGATTTATTCTAAGGCCTCTAAATTTTGGAGATGTAATTTCTTCAAATACTAACTAATAAAAAATAATAATTTAAGATCTTGAAGCCGAGCAAAGCCCCAATGATTGTTAGCCAGTCTTGCCAAAGCACCAGTTGAAGAAGTATGCGATGTGCAATGCCCGATAAAATTGAAAAATGTGAGATTGAATAAAGACCGTCCAACTTTTGAATGGTATAACCTATGGGTTCAGAAACTCAATATCCAAGTTTTGTCTTCTGAAAACTGAAGGCGGAAACTGAAATGTCAAATTGGAAAAATTATCATGATTAGCTTAGCCCATGAAAGCAAACATACAGTAAGCTCCCACGGAAGGAAAATAAGCATGCTTATCGATTAAAAGGTGCGGGTTGTGCAACTTTAGACAATCAAATTAAGGTGCATCTCCAAACTATGTCATGAGATGTGATTTTGATGTTCAAAATTTCTAGGATTGTGTGTTAATCTATTTTTATCTCCAGTTATAAAATTTTTAAACTAAAAAATTAGTTCAAATCAAGAAGATGCATATAAAAATCTTTAAAATGAACGGTCCAGATAATGTGTTGTAAGATGTATTATTTTTAAGAACTGAAAATCTTTTTTTTTACTGTATATATATACATCTCGATATCAAGATGATCAATTGAATGTTTTTTTAACATCAAAACAACCTTTTTCCAATGACTTTTGAGGTGCACCTTAATCCTATGTATCAACTTTATATAAACTTTTTCCTTTCCTTGATTGAATGCCCTTTGTTGTTGGTAAGAGTTCATAGTGATCAGAAGGACTAAACTACCCATACTTTGTTGGGCCCAAAAAAGATAACTTTATCTCTTATAAAATGGCAAGAATGCTTATTATGCCATGGAGTGATATAATACTCCATAGCGTACCATCATTCCTTTCAAGTCTAGACAGAAACAGGAAAGTATAATAGCCTTGAGAGTCACCCTTCAGTCCAGTTTAGGTTCAAATCTCCCAAAAAACCAAACAAGGCTAATTCACCCTTGTTTTTTGGGTGCACGCATTTACGCACCGAATCCCATCGTGGCGCACCACTTCACTTGTAGGACACATGCTTCCGCTTGTTTATGGGAACGTATTTTGAAATGAGTAATATGCCCTTATGACCAATCTACCCTTATAAGGACTCATGGTTTAGGGTGGCCAATATTCTGAAATAACCAAAATGCCCTTTTGACCAAAACGGCCCCTATAAGAAACCATGGTTTAGGGTTTACTTACTCTGTCACCATGGTGGGGCTGCAGGTGTCCGTAGGTCGGTTTTCCGATCCCAGGCAAATTGATGAATCAGAAACTGTAGTTACTTCTTCAAGGGACACTGCTACAATAAAAGGCCAGGCCAGGCCAGGCAATTAATTTATTAGAGAAAAGCCAAAAAAAAGCACTTTTTTTTTTTCTGTGGAACATAAGCAAAAAGAAACACTTGATTAAACATGAAATACATTATAGAAATTTAGATAAAAAAATATTTTATTTTTTGAATTTAAAATAGACTCTTATATTCAAAGCCCCAAACCATAAAGCTTATCTCAATTTTATTTATTTTTATACATCTTGAGCTTGAATTTATTGAGTCCATACTTTTAAGTTTTAACCCTCATAATATTTGAAAGAAATAAAATTAACAAAACATACCTAACTCTTGTGAGGGTGTTTGAGTTATTTTTTTATATTAAGTTGCTTTTTTATATTTTTTATAGGTGCGCTATGGTGAGAACTATAGCCAATCCAATTTGAGATTAATCCAATAAAATAAAAAATCTAAATCTAAAATACACTATAGGCTCTTAAAAAATAGGATTTTTAGTGTAAAATTCAAAATACAGTGAACTCATTCTTTTCACATGAGCTTTTTATGTTGAAGAAAAAAGAAAAACAAAAAGAGCCATGGCTAAAACTAACTACCCACCATCTCTGCCATTTGAATTGATGACGGCCTCCCTTTGAGTTTGCTTTCCCAGCCTGTATTTCTAATAATCCACAAACAAGAAAAACCAAAAAAGAAAAAAAACATCTATTAAACAAAAGAAATAAATAGCAAATGCTTTGAAAATTAAATGTTTTATTGCCTATAAAATTGAGTGCTTCATGCTATAAGCTTTATGAATAGTTTCTGATGAGTAGGAAACTATTAATAGTAAAGATACACATTATCCACAAAAAATTATTTTTTTTGCTAAATGTTACAAATGTTAATGACAAAAATATGCCTAGTCACAAATGGCTAAATTACACCCACATTATCAATTTAATAGGGAAAGGTTTCTATATTTTTCCTATATCTATGCTTCCCTTACCATCTAGTCGTCTAATTTTGATCAATAGAGCCACTCACCGTTTGATCTTAGATCCAACATCTCAAAATATTTTATTTTTAGTTTTTTTTATACAAATTATATGAATATGAAATTTGGTACGTGCCATCTTTTCGTTAGGGCACACCTATAAAAATTATTAAAAATAAATTTTTTATAAAATATAATGGCTAAAATACCTTTTGAAACTTTCAAAGGCATTTTGATCATTTTATTTTATTGAAAATATTGTTTTTATAGTTTTTGCTAGTGCAAGTTTAATAGAGGATTGGGCATCCAAAATTTGGTTTCAGAATAACTTATAGAAAAAAATTAAAAATAAAATAACGTAGAGACGTAAAATTGTGATTGGGGCAATCTTATCCAGAATGAACAACTGGATAAGGGGTAGTATATAAACTTTATGCTGTAGTGGAATCATAGAAACCTTGCCCAATTTTAATATGCTTGTTGGGCAAACATAGAAAGCTTGCCCATTTTAATATGCTTGTAGGGCAAGCATAGAAAGCTTGCCCATTTTAATACGCAGAAGAGCCCTCCAGTTTCCTCGGAATTAAATATTTAACCATCAAATTTTCCATAAAACTAGAAAAATAAACTAAAATATGAAATGATTACTACCATTAGAATTTGGGCCCTTTCTGTTTCAGTGAACTTTTCTATCGAACAACCCAAAGTTCCATATTTTCATGGGGTAATTAATATTTTTTTTTTCCAGTACTAAAAATCCAGAATCTAAAATTTGACGATGATTATTCAAGTTTCACCAAAATGGGTCCCTTTAACCCATTAAAATTTCCACGTTAATTATCAAGTAAAAAATAAAACTTACCTGTAAATGACTCTTGAGGTGGTAGAGAGTGAGGCCTTTCACATCCATAATCCTCATCACTGATTTTGGAGTAGCTTCTGCCAAAACAAAAAAATAAAAAAATAAAAAAACTGGAAAAATGAGAAAATATTGTACTTTTAAAATAGTCAGATTAATAGAATTAAGAAATGAAAAAATCAATTCCACCCCAAAGCTAGCAAGTATAATTAAACGAAACATTTCCTCAGAAATATTTATTTAATTGAAAGTCAATAAGAAGTGAAAACTGAAGAGAAAAAGGATTCAAGGAACAGTACAATTCTGAATAGCTGTTTACTAATTGATAAACAAAAGTTGTTTTTTTTAAAGAAATTCGATCCATGCTGATGCAAATTGTGAATTACAAAAAAGAAAAGAAAAGACTGATAACTAGAAAAAAAAAACATTGTGTTTTTTATTTTTTCATTTTGTTCCCATACTCTCTGGTCCCCCAAGCTGGGTTACTGCATCGACAAAGCGCTGGTGAAGCTCAGCCGTCCATCTCAGCCTGGGCTTGGGATCGGCGGACAGGATAAGCCGTGATGAATCCGAAGAATCCTGACCGTCTATCTGCCTGAACGATCCATTCGCTTCAGAATCCATGATCGGCTTTTTGACCCCCCCTCATGCATAAACATGAATCTCTCTCTCTCTCTCTCTAACCAACACAACAAGGCTTCTGCAACAAGACTTCTTTCTCTCTAACCCACACTTGTCTCTTGCTGCTTCTGCAACAAGACTTCTTTCTCTCTCTAGAGCTTCAACAACAAGACTTGTCACTTGGGCCTTCATGGACCTCCCTCTCTTTATGCTAGTGCAACTCCAGCAAACATACAACTGAGGGCATATTTGTCCATCTTTTTCTTTTCTCTCCCATGCTCTTTTCTCTCTCTCTATCTTTTGTTTTTATCAAAGAAAAATTCTGAGTTACTTTCACATTGGAATCTTAGACACCTAGACCTCAATAAAAAAAAAAGAAAAGAAAAGGCCAACAATTTTTTTTCATTTTTCTAAATAAAAAAATTATTTTTTAACTCTCTTTTATTATTAGGGTCAAATCCAAAGCCCTAATGGAAAGTGACTTCAATGAGGATTTTTTTATGGATTGACCAAATTGTCCTCGGTTTTTCCAAAATTTATTTTTAAATTTTCGATCTTCCCCTTTTTTTAAATTTTTACTTGGAATAAATTACTTCATGTATTGTTCAGCGTCGAATCTTAGACCCTCCAAAAAAAGGGCCGCAGCAAATCTATCCACTTTATTGTTATCATTATTTAAGTGCTTTCTTTTAGTGGCCATATCCAAAACCCTAGAAAGGGATTGGGGATTTTTAATCCTACCCTTGAGCTTTTAGAATTACCAAATCTATCCATATTTTAATGAAAACTATTTTTTTTATTTTTTTTTCTTTTTCTTTTCTCATTTATTTTCTCTCTTTATAATGTGATCAAAGTTAGACCATCACATCCCACGACACTGACGGGAAAAATAATAATTACTTCATTAAATAATTTTTGTTTTACAAAAAAAAAAAAGATAAAAGCTCCCCACCGTTGTGTTTAAAAAATCGCCAATTCAACTCGAGAATCAAAACAAATCCTAGTTCAACTCAGAAGTTCGAGAAGGACCAGGCACATTAGAATCGGATCCCACTTGAGTTAAGAGGACCAGATCCGAATTTTTAAATCACTGCTCCAAAGTCACAAGAGAAATTTAATAATTTTCAAAATTCACAAGAAGGTTACTTTTCATGATTTAAGGGGGACAAACAGATATCTGCCTCATGGAAGTCGAGTGTCACTTCCAAATTTTCAAAGGGTATTAGTAATTTTACCATTAAAGGAAACATAAAAGTAGGGGAATGAAAACGATGTAGAAGACTAAAAAAACCTGAGATAGATTCGCTTCTTATTTTTTAATTCCTTTTTTCTTAAAAAAAATATACAAATGAAATTATGCTAACCAAAATAAATAGACCACACAACAATAAAAAATAAATCGAAAATATAAATGGTTATTAAGTAGAAATTTCCCTCATTCACTACTGATTTAGGACCCAATTGTTTAGATTTAGAGAAATGAGTATGTTATATTTTTTTTCCTAATTTATTGGGTTATGGTCTTTTTATAAAAGGATGAAGTTTCTATAGGGCCTAGGCTTTATGAAAACAAAATAAAAGCTCACCTCAAATCCTCGTCTTGAAAGCAGTTTTGGTAACGGAAATCTCCTTGATGGATCTAAATCAATTTCTAATACCGATAATGTAACTTGAAACTAAAAAAATGGTACAGATCTTGTGGATTTATGAACACTTAATTTTAGGGTGAAATGGATGGTCTAGATATAATTTGTTCAACATACATATTTTTAGATCTTAAAATCCTAATTTGTTTTCACAACTGATGTATTCAAGCCGAGATGATCCATATAAAAGTTTTCCAATGCTTAAATTATAAATTTTGACGAGTTATGAGGTGAGGCTTTACTGATTTCGATAGGGATATAGCCCTATCAACCTATTTTCCTTCTATAAATACCAAAAAAAAAAACATCTTCTTCAATTCAAAGCATTATAGCTTCTTGAGATATTCTTGCATCATCCATGACTTTTTCTCTCTCTAAGTACAATTTGCCTCATGAACTTCTCACCAAAGATATTCCTTATGCATGAAAGATACCGCAACACATAAAGTAAGGGAAAAGTTTATATAGAGCCGAGGCTCTAAACAATCAAATTACAGCGTACCTCGAAATACTAGAAGAGGTTATTTTGATGCCCAAATATCTTCTAATCGATCATCTAGACATCAAGATACATGGACAAGAGAAAAAAATGCATTTCAAGTTTTAGAAATAGTGCATATTGTAATGCATTTTTGGATCATCAATTTTCCAGATTTTTAAGTTTTCATAGATCTATGGATCTACACTATTTTTGAAGCTTTAAACTTTATAAATAATTATTAAAATACATTTTAAGGCTATCACAAGATTTTTAGTATTGAAACCACATTTATCAATACTATTTGAACGTAGGCTCTAATTTGATTGTTTAGAGCCTAGGCTCTATACAAATCGCCCACATATAATGTGTAATTTTTTATCACCATTCCCTCTTAAGAACATTATTGCATCATCTCCTATGTTAAGACATTTTTTCTTCCCTCTCTCTCTCACACACACCCCACCCCATTCCTTCTTAAGACATTATTGCATCATCTTCTATATTAAGACATTTTTTCTTCTCTCTCTCACACACCATTCCCTCTTAAGACATTATTGCATCATCTTCTATATTAAGTTAGTTTGTGTGTTCTCACACACACACATTTGTGTATGCATGCATGTGTGTTTCATCGACGCGTCGTTCAAATTTGTTAAAATTTATTTCCCATAACGTTTTTAAATGGGGATGTCTACAAAAAGACCGTTTACCCTTTGTACAAGAGGTCACAATAGTTCACATTCGTTGTATGTAAAATTGGATAATTTGGAGGAAGTCATGAAGTCTGCGAATTTTTTTTTGAACTTTGTGCTTATCCTCTTACGCTCTTACAACCACTCATTTTAAAATTTAAAGGACATGAATGATTGTGACCTCGGTATACAAAAAATAAATAGTATCTTTGTAGACAATCCCTTTATACATCATCCAATCCATAAAATTCTCTGTCTCCATTTATTATGACTATGGTACTTTCTAGATGAATAATGCAAAGTCTTGTGAAATGTGATTGTGTATTTCATATGCAATTTTTTTCTCAATTCACCAAGTTTATGAAAACTTGATCTCCCATGGCATTTTTACACCATCCAACATATATAATCTCTCTCTCTCTCTCATTTCTTCTATTTTACATAAATTTTCTATATGGTAAGACCGTATGCTGCTTGTTTTTCCTGAGAAAAATAGAAAGTGAGGAATGATATTGAATGGTAAAATAGAAAAAGTAGAAGAGTTGAGGGGGCGATTCTTGCGTGTGTGGAGGGAGCAAAAAGAATCAGAATAAGGGAGCAAAAAGAGGAGAGAGAAAGAGAGAAGAGAATAAAGTTAAAAGGGAAGTTTGGAAAAAAGTGGAGATTGACAAACGATTCCCTTTCAAATTCAAACATTTCAATAATCAAAATTCGCCATCGCAGCTGCCTCCTTTCCCCTTTGTGTGTCTCTTTGCGTCCACCACGAATATTCCCCTTGCTTGTCCTTTGGGTGGCCCATCTATTTTAATAAAGCGGCCCCATAAATATTCCCATCTCACCTTTCCCTCACCTAAAGACCCCTTTACTTCTCTCTCTAAAACACACTCAAAAAGCACCATCCCATTTAGCCCACCCCTCTCAACCACCCAGTCCTAGGGTTGGCAATGGGCCGGGCGGCCCGACATGCGGCGATCGAAGAGTTATAGCCTGAGCCAAAAAATGTGGCGCAACGGCCAGGCTGGGCCACGTAGGTATCGACCTGATCCTGCCTGGCCCTGTATTTTTACTTGCTTTTTATTTTAATGTTTTTAATTAGGCCCAGCTTAGACAAGGCCTGAAAGGACTTCGTTAGGGCTGACCCTATAGGGACCCGGATCCGGCTCGGCATGGCATGTTGCCAGCCCTCCTCTCTCTCCCTCTTTAGTCTTTGTTCGATATCGGACTTAACTACTGAATAAGTGAGGGGGGTGGTCTAGTCAAAATTAGATTTACAAAAGTACAAAAAGAGATAGACTAATATATTCAAATTATGAAAACATTAAAAAATAGGATTGTATACTATAAGACCATTTATTTTTGGTACAAAATGGTCACAACTACTGTTAGATATTGGATGTGAAATCTAATACATAAGAGTTTATAACAACATTCGAGAAATTTTGTTTTCGACTTTGTGCCTAAATAATGACACATCCTCCACTACCTGATTTCAAATATAATGGTTAATGATGATTGTAACTTCCTTTTATACAAAATAATTGGTTTCATTATATATATTTCCTAAAAACATTTGTCAACTTCATTTTGTTAGAGGAAATAATCATAGTGTTTGACTATTTGGTTCGAGTACTTGGGTGTTCCATAAGAGGATATTAAAAAAAAATCAAATCAATCATAAAAAAATTAAAAAAATAAGAAATTTATTTGTAATATAATTTTTTTTTGTTTTTTATATCATTTTGACGAAGATTAGAAGGTGTTTTGGCCATAAATACTTGTTTTTACATTTTTCCATCTTTTTAAAATTATTTTAAAAATACCCCCAGACACATAAGTTGATTTTTGAAAATCTATTTTTTTTACTATTTTCTAACCCCATTTTGATACATTTTGCTTAATCTTATTTTAAACATACAATCCTTATTTTTATGTATGTTTTTATATCTTTTAACCAATTTTTTTTTGCTACTACAGTACATAACACTACTCGAGTCGAGTATTCAGATCGGGCATGGGGCCAAGTACTCACCCTGATTAGTGGCTTCGAACACTATTAAAACTAGCCTGTCCAGCAGGCTAAAATTGATCCAACATTACTTTTTTACCAAACTGGACTTTTTTTTTGGATCAAACCAACCAAAGTACCAGTCAATTGTTCGGAATCAGTCTCGATAAGTATATGCATCCATGCAAAAACGTGTTTAGTCTTCCCCGTTCTCTCTCTCTCCACGAAGCTCAAGAAAGCTGCCTCCTTTCCCTCCCTCTCTGAATCTAACTCTTTGGCATACCCCTTCCTCTATGTATATTTGAAATTATAAAAGTGTTCCTATCTCCACATAATAATCTCTCTCCACAGGGCTGAGAATAGGTCGAATCGAGCGTGTGTGAATCCACCGAGATCTAAATTTTGATACGAAAAGTAAAATGGGATCTTGATTCAGATCCGGACCCGATTAAATCTAA